TCTTCCACGCTATCCCGAGTGAACATAAAACCTTGTCCGGCTTGACCAAAAGGCCAGGGAGTGAGGGGGTAGCCGCCCACTAGAGCATACCTTTAGCTACCCTCTTAGACCGTCGTACTATGAAGACACTTATAGGTTTCTTATATCTAATCGGGATAGTCTATTCGGTGAAGTTCTATGCTAATATATGACGTCATGACATCCTAAGGGAGTAGCCAGCCAATCAAAGAGCAGCTCAAAAATTATTATATGCAGTACTTGTCCAACAATGTTCCAGCAATGAGGGGKAGGTGTCGAGGGACTAGAAGGGGGAGGGGGTGAGTAGGGGTGAAACTGAAATCGAGTCAATCGAGTTACGTAGTCGGCAGTGTGCCGAAAAATATCACGAAAATAAGCTTGATTTACCCTGGTTCCAGGAGTTTTCTCTTCTTTTATAGATGTTTTTTGTTTAGTGCATGTTTATCGTATTTTCGTCTTTGCGTCGTTAAAAATTTAAAAAGCAAAGGGTAAGCTTGATTATATTATCGTCTATTATATTAACAGGCGTAAATGAAGCGAGGAACTTTCGCTCTGCTATCAACTCGTTCTAGAATTAGAAATGCAATCGCTTGATGATTCTTTCATCAAGTTAGAATATCAAATTGAACTTTAGGCCGTGTAAGTTTGTTTGTTTGTTGTTGTTTCTTAACTCGAATTGCCGGCCAATTATTAGTCAATCGGGCTACGTARCTGGCTGGGCCGGCCACTCGTCCTAAAGTCTGTGTCGCAGAGCCCCATTGTAATGTTGTATTTTGGGCTTCCTGTTCCTAAAGTGCGTGGCTACGTAGCTTTACTATACAAAAAATTAAAATGTCCTCGCGAGTTTTCAGGAAATTACAGGGAGATTCACAGTTAGATATYCAKGAAGATGTTGAAGAAGACGAATTTAATATTGTTCCAACCAAAGGAAAAAAGAAACAACACATTGTGAACCCTTTTGATTTGGTAAGAAATTATTTAAAGCTGTTAGTTTTGGTACAGCTTTGAATTAAGCTTATAAGCTTTTATCTACCAAGCTTGAAATAACTTAAGTCTTAAGTCTTTTAGTCATCGTAGCAGTAATCAWGACCTTGATCTTTACTGCAACGTGTATGGTGTAGTTTTTTGATTTCCAATTTCAACAATTTAACGCATCTACATCAAACAGCTGAATGACGGAGATGGTAAATCAAGTGATGAAGCAGAAGAAAATAGTGGAAGTGAAGAAAARARAGAAAKGGAAATAAAAAATCAGACACCAAATGAAACAAATATTGGAAGTAAAAAGAGAAAAAAGAGGAAGAAGAAAGGWAACAAGAGAGAGCAACAGGACACCAGTAAGGTACATATTTTAGTGATTCTTTGCCTGGATCATGTAAAGTAACAAAATATACTTTGATATTGTAAGAAAGAAGAGGATATTGATGCTACAATTCGTGAAGTCAATGAAATGTTAGGAATCACAATARCCAACACAKCCATCTCAGGTAAAAACCTCAATAYCAATGCGGATAATTGTTGAGAATTTAAACGACATTGTATTTTTTATATTTGGTGTGTTTATATTAGTATTAATCCAAGTCGTCTAACTCTGTAATTGATTGATGTATGATTGATATGTCTTGTTGAGGATTAGCAAATACTTGTCTTGTATTTTCAGATAACTCAACATCATCAGAAAACACAGTATCTGTACTTGATACAAAAGCATTGCTTGGTGTTGAAAATAGGTATCACCAAATCATTGAAATAGTGGGATATGATTCACAAATATCAACATTACCACCAACACTTATTATTTTTTCTCAAGGAACCTCAATGCTGAGAATGAAATGAAGAAAAGATTTGGTTCAAATACTGTAAGAAGTGAAAACAGGTAAATTGAATCCCAGTGATATAAGACACAGCGCTGTGCATGAAGGGCAGTAGAAATACTTGCCATGACATTGAAGGTGCAAGACACAAACTATAATTGGTGCTAATTTCTGACATGTCATTTTTATCTTTGATGAAAACTGTTTTAGACAAGACTGACTGTGGGWTCACACAGTGATTATTTTTGAATTATTGTATTTTTGATTGAATCATTACAAAGCTAGTCTTATAACAAAGCCTGTAATATATTGTTATAGGCAAAGACGAACTCACAGACGCATTTATCAGCGCTCAACATGGTATGATACACTCTAATATAGTGTGTGACTATAACATTTAGTATCAATCAGTCAAAACACAATCTTACTATAGGTTGGTGAGTCCAAAGGAAACATGGCCAAATACATCCAAATCAGGTATTCTGGTTGAWTGGTAATGACCAGCAAATGAACATTAATAAATCTGTTATCTTAWMTGTAACATAACAAATCTGTTATGTYAATCTTCATTTTAGGACTTAGCATGACATTAGTGAAGACTATAAATGGGTAAGAATAGCATTCATTTCATCATTTCAACCTTTCATTTCAACTTTCCATCCATCYACAAACTCCCATTACTTCAAACATGCTTGATATGTTGAGATTGAATTCTTTTGATTATAGGTATAACTATTTTACCTTTGAGCATTCCCAGGCCTACCAGCAGATACAATTTATGTTTCTAGATGCCGTTGAATCTCTTGATCCTAACAATATATCAGTAAGAAACTATTATCGCTATATCACAGCAATTAGTGGTAGTGGTATTTATTTACAATCTTTCTACTTTAGGCAATATTACATTCCCATCCATTTCACATTGATTCACTTTTACAACTGAGTGAAATCTGTAAAATGGGAGAAGACTATCAAATGGCAGCTGACCTTGTAGGTGTGTACATTGGCTACTTTGTTTTATGAACATAGATTCTGTAATCAATATTGTTTTGTGTTATAGAAAGAGCACTGTATTGCTGTGAGTGCAGTTTTCATACTTTATTCAGCCTTTCACAAGGTACTTCAAGATTGGACTACAAAAGAGCTGAAAACAGGTACAGTACATTGTCTGCTTCAGCAAAATTATTGGTCCTCATGATTAGTATTATTATTCAGTTTGCTATTATTCATGTTATTCTTTTGGTATTTAAACACTGAACTTCATTGAACTAGTTGGTAAACAATTGTTTTCATACATATTTAACATTGTTATTGCAGATCTTTTTTCATTGCACTGTTTCGTCATCTGGTGTTTGTTGGACAGCGAGGTAAGTATTTTGTTTTATTTCCCAAAAAGAAATGTCTGTCTTGCCAGGATTTGTTTTTATAGCTGATTTTGGTTGCATCCATGACTGAGCAGAGTCAAAATGGATGTTGAAATGCCTTTTCTTTTATTAATGGACAGAAAGAGTGAGGGGAGGTGGTGTTGATAAGTGAATTTCACTATTACCATTGTATTGTTTTTTGTTCTTACCTTGTTGATAGGCTGCCATCGTACTGCCTTGGAACTATGTAAACTCTTATTAAGGTACTAATACACTTAAAGTCAGCATTGTAAAATATCCTACTTAACCTTCTCAATATGATTTGAACTAAAAGACTATAGCTGTATATTTATATTTTTGTTTTATAATCTATTTAGTCTTGATCCTGATAACGACCCATTATGYGTTCTTCTTATGATTGATTTCTATGCTCTGACGTCAGACCAGAATTCTTATCTTGTTCGCATGTATGATGAATGGGAGGTTAGTGAAATGTTATTGGTGTTTAACTTAGATTATTGCATTTGATTATTTGATTTACAATGTTAAAGGCCAAGTTTGCACCATTATGCTTTGCGTGCCTCTGTTATTGTTATGATTTACACCAAAATACTTCTAGTATCCAAATATCACCATAAAACGAAGTAAGATGGTTGAAAATTCTAATATTAAAAGTGAGATGGTCAAAGATTCGAAACATACAGTACAATTTATAGACTTTCGGTAAACTGAAAATGGCTGCCCAAGGGCCCCAAAGCATAATGGTGCACACTGRGCCTTTAATAGCAGCAGTGATGACCATGATAATATAATAGGTAATACAATTATAATGAACTTGATGCAATGATATGTCCATTTAATGATGTAATATTGTATACTGTTTTCAGAGTCACAGAAACTTATCCCAGCTGCCAAACTTTGCCTTTTCTGTTGCCTTGGCATTATTTCACATGARCAAAAACAATGGAAACCTAAGCCGAGCTGACCAAATGGTAAGTGTGTGTTTTGTATTTAGTCTATTGCTTCCTGGTGTTTGCTATTGGTTGACCAACTGACTTACTTAACTGATTGATTGACAGTTCTGATTGATGTTGTTTTTACTGAAGTAAACCTGTAAATTCTAATTATTTGTTTTTGATTAAATGTTAATTGTTATTTTGTTGCAGTTACAAGATGCATTGATAATGTTTCCTGCAGTAAGTCAGAGATTATTATATAATTTTAACTTGACCAACTTAAATGAATTTTTTGAATAAAAAAACAGCATAGTTTGTAGATATGAACATTATTTTACAGGTGTTAATACCATTACTTGATAAATGCAGTGTTGCTCTGGATTCTGTGCTTGCTAAGCACAAGTTTTTTAGTGATGCTAGAGCAAGGTATGATACTCTTTACACTACACGTTGTAATAATGATGAATAGATGTTCTGTGACAGTGTTTTGAGCTCATGTTCACTAATCCATCTTACTATTCCTGTAATATTAATGGCATTTTTAATAGTACATCCATTGCACTCAACCAGCTGGTTATGTTGTATGTYGGCCGTTCACATCATGTATGGAAAGATCCACAGGTAAACTACAGTCATGCTCATTAAAAACATGCTATTCTTGTAGTCAAAACTTATTATCATGTAATTACCACCCATGCCATTTAGGTAATTGATTGGCTTGTTAGCAATGTCAAGGTCGTTCTTGAAAGAGTGGATAAGAAAGATCCATATGTTGAAGACTGTGCTAAAAAGTAAGTCAGTGGGTCATGAATATTATCTAAAAATGACAAACTCACCAAGTGATTAATGCACTGATTGATTGATTTGTKGAGTGATTGTTTGATGGAGTAACAATGTCTTATAGAAGAGCCATTAGGTATCAAGGGACACCAAGAGCTATTTATAGACACATTATCATGTCTGGTAAGGAAATCCTGTTATCAACTTTTCCTTATAATACAATCAAAAATATATTGTGGAATAGACTTTGTAAATCCTGTAATTCTGTTTATTGATATTATTCTGTTATATTCAGTAATAATTCATTGTTGTACAATTTTAGATATCAAAGATGGTACTGCCTCACTGCCAATGGTAAATACCTTTTTATTATCAATCTTCATGTTAAGGACTATTTTGTATTGTACCATTTCAAAAACTTTTTACTTTTTATATAGAATTTACAGGACACTCCTCTTATGTCTTACGATCCCCTCCCCCCTCAGGACTCAGTGTCTGGATATACAAGACCTGAAAGGTGAGTAATCGTTTATTACTTAATCTTGTGRTTTGCTGCGTTGTCAGGATGATTCAAGCATAAACCTTGCTGTTTAATTTCAGACAGAGAATGCACACTGAAGATCACAGTCCTTTATCACTGTTTTTCCGATCTCTTTTACCATCATTCAATCCACAGGTAAACTGTGTTCTGTTGTACAAAACYGTCAGTAGATTTTGCTTAACTGTTCAATCAGATCTTCTACAACTTATCATATGGTGTTATAATATGGTGTTTTCATATTAYAATGGTAAGCATTGTGTAATCTTGTCTAATTTCCAGGCCCCCAATGATGATCAAGAGTATCGACATCTGCAGAGACAGGTAGCCCAAGAAGTGGAAGGTGCAGAAGGAGGACCAATCAGAGGATCTGATATTTCACAAAGTGTAGAGACCCTCATGACAGCAATGAGACAACTGCTGACTAGTATAAGCTTCAGAGGAGAGCCTGAGAATGATGGACCACAGCAAGAGGAACAGGACTGGGAAGAGAATGAAGATAACAGACAAGAATAGTTTTGGTCCATGACAGAAAAAATTAATTTTGAAAATGTTGCACAGAATTTTTATCGAAAATAAAGTAAAAAAGACTTAACATGCCAAAATCAAATATTAAATGCTTCCAAGCACAAAACTGAGCCAAATGGTTCTTAGGTTTTTATTGAAGAATGTATTTCACTTCACAAATTCATATCTCAAGAAGTGTTTCTGATTTCTATTAATCAATAGTAACATTTGTACATTGTGATTTAGATTTAGCTCCTTTTATTAGTGTTGTAGTTCCAGGTAAACATTTGATACAAGACTTCTTGCCAATAGCTTGCTGRTAACTTCCATACATGCAGGGAAGGCATGGTTTTTTACCYGTCTTTGAGTGATATCCTTGAGGACACAGGTCTAGGAAACAAGCAACATTTAAATGAGACAAGGAACTTCGTGGGGGAGAAATCTATTTGCAATCATTTTAAGGTATATCTTTCTTAGGATGTATATAAAAGGAATATTTTTGGACTTTTTGAATCAACCTAGCCTATGATATCTTTCTTTGATATCAACATATAATAAAAACAATGAAACCTTTTATAGGCTCATTACGTCCAGTTATTGGCATAAAACTTTGTTCACCCTTGAAGAAACTATCCTTGTTGCCAGGCAACTAATGTTGTAACCTTGTAATTATCTATCAGTTAAACTGTTCAACTAATCTTATTGATCCATATTTCACACATTCAAGCAGGATAATTATAAACTCTCACCTCCAGTTGAGGTTCTTACTTTCACAATAGCTGGTTTTCCATAAGCTCCAAATGTGACAGCCTGGACCCTAACTTCATACGCAGTCCCTGGTTGAAGATGTTTAATCATAGCAGTTTGGGCATAACCTTTCAAACGCAGACTGAATCTATCCTGTTTATTAGCTTTCCTGTATGTTATTATGTAATTCAGTATTGCATCATTGTCGAGTATAGGGTCTTTCCATTTCAGACTAATAGTCTTTGAATCCATTGCCTTGGCTGATATGATAAATGGTGGTGGTGGGACTAGAAACAAATGAAGGATATTAATCATGATATCCCTTTTTATCATATAATTATCTATGAAATRCCTATATTTCTCCATTACGTAAAATTGATATTTTCACTAAAGTTATTTTCACTAGTGAAARTAACACTTCGAKGTTTCTCTATATATTGGAAGAAAGAAAAAAGGTATTTTTAAAACATAATTTGCYTTCATATTTAATTAATATATGATAAACAGAATATTACATGGGCGTGCGGAGATACGAATTTTATCTTCTTGTGTTGAAAATCGCTAYGCTCACTCGTGAGAGATCTTTTTAACACTCGAAGATAAAATCCGTATCTCCGCACGCCCATGTAATATCCTCTATATCATTCCTGTTCTCATAAAGTTTTCCCACTATCTTTTTCTTATTCATTTTCMCATTATCTTTTCCATTCATTTTTCCCATTATCTTTCCTTCATTCACTTACTGTTAAAAGGTGTTGTTACAGCACCAATGGCTGGTTTTCCAATACCAACTGAATTCACAGCATTCATTGTGACATTGTACCTACTACCAGGCAATAAACCCATTATCATTATTGATAGCAGACTAGGAGCTGCAGTATACTTTAAAGATTGTGATGACCCTGATCTTGTGATGATGATTTGATAATTTCTTAATGGTTTGCTGTAAATACCAGGTTTTTTCCACCGGACTTGAATAGTTGTGCTGTTGATAGCGACGATTTTCAGACTTCGTGGTTTAGATGGCACTGAAATTGTGATAGTATTGATTATTTGCATTGTTCTAAATGTATCCCATTTGTTTGAATTAAGGTGTTTCTGGTATTCATTAGACATTATTTGAAGGGGTTAAGGTGTATTTGTTGAGTTCAGACGAAAGTGATTATTACTTTCATGATAATCTACCATAATCACACAGATTATCTTTCATCATATTCATAATTTACCAACACCAATCATAAAAGCAGAATTTTTCAATCGAACTCCATTCGTAATTGCAGTCAAATATAACTATCATCCCCATTGCCATTGTCATCATTATCATCATCATCGGCAGATCTGAGACCACTCTACCTGTCTGTATTTGTCTACATGTCACTTGGTTGATATGGTTACACACGCCGATTGTTACATCAAACCAAGTTCCTTTTGGACATTGCATCGCATATGATCGTCCTGACTGATCACATTGGAAAAACTTATCACACGAATTTGGGTCTTTGTACAATCCAGCGGCACGACCCTTACAGAATGTGGAGCTTGGAGACGACTTGGTATCTACGCGGGAAAGGAAACATGAGAAAATTGTATTGRCRTTTACGATCATTTCACACYAACCAATGACAGAATACTGAAGGTGCTTACTTTTTGAAAGTCCTTGTGAAATCTGTCCCACGGCAARCAAAGCAAACATAATGAACACCTTCATGCCTGATGAATTGGAATGCAGCAGAGTAMTGTGGTGCTCACTGTACAACAATAATACTATTATCCTGAAATATAASAATTGCTAACATTATTAGAATGTCCTTGAGCATAGGTTATCGTTTTACTAAAGCGGGATTCTTTTCGTGATATCTGGTATATACTTATCCATGAAAACTAGTTTTTGCAAAACCGTTTTTTACTATTTTACCATTCAAAGCTTGTATGACTATTACTGACGTTCTTCAATGTTAATCAAGCCTTGGTTAATTACATGATACACTGTGCGCTCCTATGGTATATGAAAACCAAGTATGCTACTTCACAATAATAAGGAACTTGGAACGTGTTCTTKTCGTTCATAATTTGATCGTTCCAAAAATAACCCCGGTTCTCTGCTATCCTAATGCAGTTTATAATGCAGTTTATGATAAAGGTTATCATGCACTCCTCAGTCACCGTCATTAAAATACACAAGTACTCAGACGCGGTGCTCTTAGGACAAAAAACTTAATTGTAGATACACTTACATGGACAACAGATACGTATAGCATCTCGCCATGATTCTTTACGTAAATTACGACATTTATATTCATGTCTCATTAACGCTTTGTTATCAATTCCATATCATCCCAATAATTGCCAATTTGACTTGCTCTAGTCCTMAAACCAGTTAACTTATGTTTCCTTGTCTATTTTGTCTTTTAATCAGGTTGATACCGAATAAGTGATGTCCATAATGCAAGTACTGTCTACATAAATATAAACTATTGTCTCACCTTGTTTATCGATGGGTTGTAAGTGTAGATAGTCGTCTCAAGTCGTTTGATCGTATTATCGGATGTCGCAGTCGTTTCTGTACGTTCTGGTATTCTAGACATACCACGTCATCTCGCATTGACCTCTGCCCTCATTGCAAAGAACTGTGATAATTCTATTAAGCGCAGAGAGAATCGTCTTCCTGATCTTTTTTGTGTGACAAACGAATAGTGTTTCTTCCTTTCCTGTACGACGTAACGGATCAATATTTTTTCATCTCTTTCGTAGGTATTTTTACGATGATAACATCGAATTCGCTGATTCCGTTCAATGAATGCCATGCATGGTAAAATTGCGAAAATGAAATCGCGTGTAATAAAATTGCAGCGGCGCCAAATACCTTGCGGTGACCAGGTCAGTAACAATTTGATTAATACAGCAGGTATGTCGTTACTATACAAAAAATATATCAGTCGAAAACGCTGTTTTAAATACCAACACTGTATGCACAGTGATCGTGTGAGTCGAAAACGCTGTTTTACATACCAACGCTGTATGTACATAGTGAACATGTTAATTAACRAACATGCATAGTTAACTTGAAACTCGCGCCATACAAGAATACAACAAGAAACGACAAAAGAAAAATGTAGAGAATTCGTACAACAAGCGAAATGAAGGATAATCATCACTTTGTATCAATTATTTTCCATAATGGCTGTCGTTCTCTATATAGCCTCTTCCACCTGTCAGCGATAGCATCTTCAACTCAATAAGCAACCTTTATTTATCATAACAATTTACTACCATGTGGGGTTAAAAATACCTTTAATCTYTATTCAATCTTTTAGCGGGCTATTACGTTGCGCTTGTCTTGATGACTGACTTGACTTGGCACAGTTTTAGAACTATTTTACGATACATCAGTCTGGGTTGTACCGACAAGGTCAGCAACATGCTAACTGAAATCTGAAAAATTGATGCCATCATGGACCATCATGCACGAACAATTACGCTAAAATGATTCAAACGAGTGTAAAAATCAATATATAWAGTGATTCAAGGCAGCAGAAGTGGAGGATAAAYCCGTTCAAGAACGAATACGTCATTAACTGGAAGTTAGATTGCATAACAACTGGGCGAAACCCTTCGCCGGCTTTCCCTGAATTTCTTGATTTACGCGAATAAGCACAAGACTCAGATTAAAAGATGTCAAGAGGGTTTGTTAACTCTAGTTTACTAAAAGAGTCAAGTATACAAAGTAATGATAGTCATRTTRTGTATTTCTCTGTCATGGTGGYGATTCTCACCGTTGGTTTTATTGGTAACACGTTAACTATTATTGTATTTGCGCAAAAAGAACATCGATCAAAAATCATTTCTCCTTTCRTTATCAATCTAGCTGTGGCGGATCTTTTCATCGTTGTATTTGGCTACCCTTTTGCTTTTGGTAGTAACATATCAAATGAGAAACTCTTGGCAGGTTCTAGGAGATGTGACTGGTCGGCATTTGTCAATGGCTCTATTGGAATTGCATCCATCGCTATTTTAACCGAAATGAGTTTGATAATGTGGTATAGTATCACTACAATGGTTGTTATCAAGAAAAAACATTTCCCTACAAAGTTTAAAGTGTTACTCATCGGTATTGCATGGGTTTACGGTGTTTTATCTATGATCCCACCATTGCTTGGATGGAGTAGGTTTGTTCCAGGRTCAGCAGGAATTAGTTGTGCTCCTGACTGGACATCGACTAGCAACGAGACACTATCGTACAACATTTTATTGATGTTGGTTGGTTTTRCTTTGCCAGTAACAGTTACTGCGACTAGTTACATCAAGCTGTAYAGGTGAATATTATAACATGTACCATTTTGACATGAGCCTAAAAGAGATCTTTTATTGATTTTAATCGAACCATAACTGTCAATAATTTTATCTATCATAAATTCATTCTATTAATTAATCAATCATGCAAAAAGCCAGAGTGAAACAGACAAATGATTGACCCTGAAGAATCRTGACCAACAAAAACAGASGACGTACATGTATGTTGTCAGYTATGCCGTAAAATCGCTRAMATATTCACTGAATTGCTTATTTAGATCTCTGATGTCAAATAACTTATTGGAYAGACAATTCCAAAACATGCCATGGCTYATTTGCCGCCGTAAGTCCCAGGTGAATGTCGCTCGTATGGTTGCTTTATCGTTCATTGCGTTTTTGCTCAGTTGGTCGCCATATTGTTTCGTGTGCCTTGCAGCAATGTTTCAAAATACGTATGCTATCAAAGATGGTGAGGCTGAAATCCCTGAACTAATGGCMAAAGCATCAGTGCTTTACAATCCGTTYATTTACGTAGGAATGAATAAAGATGCTCGAAAAACACTCTCGAATCTAGCGTTACGTAYCCTGCRTCAAGCAAGAWCTAGAAGTAMGCTGTCGATAGTTTCAAGGAGGTCCAAAYTCAGTTACGTAACATGGAATTACCCAGAAGTCATTAGCATCAATAATAACCAAGCAACGTCTACTTGACTTCATTTCTAACAGTTAAACAAACTGAATCAATCAGTTTGGTCTGTTAATTGTAAAACGCGCTTTCTTAGTTGATTGCATTGCTCAAAAATAGCCTCAATAAAAAATATGTCAACATGATGAATCTTTTCTTGCTCCACTCCCGTGTTTCTCATATAATGCCGACATTTCTTGATTACTTTGCGCGCGGTGACGCRGTCCTAACTCTGCGCGAGAAAAAGCCTACGGTCATTGTTCTCAGCGGTTTCAGCTCTTTTATAGTGACGTCACAATGGAAGTCAATCACTTGTTTGCTTCTTAGTTGCAAAAGTTGCGGTAAGTTTTTCCTCTCCGAAAAATGTTGCTATATCAAAGAAAATGATTTAACAGCCCTTGACGTAATATTATCAATAATTTTGGATTTTGCAGAGTTTACTAAATTACGTACTGAGAGTTWAAACTAGAAACGTTAAAGTTGTGAAAACGATGGCAATTGAAATAGCCGCAAGCGAAACAGAAATGAAAACAATTGACAAATACGGTAAGAAAATAAAATGAAAGCAAGCGCTTTATCACGCTAAATGTCACGTGATGCGGTTACACTAATTAACAATGAGAATCATTAATTTTTCAGATGATYTTGATCGTGAAGAACTTATTGAGAAACTGAAGGTAGGCATTTAAGGATTGGATCATTTTTTTAGCGTATTTTGTTCCTTTTGGGCGTGCTATATCAATGMGGAATTTTTACGGAAAGTGAAATTTTCACAATCGTTATAATGTGTTATAATTTGTTAAACTGTATTAATCCTGTTATTTCAGGAATCTGAAAATGCAAACCTAATCGCCGTTAACGAATTGAGAAATATGAAGGTACATAGAAACGGCTGATGCAAATAAATCAATAGGACTTCCAGGTATATGATGACGTTATTTCTAACTATTACTTTGTACTCTCAAACAGGAGAAGTTAACGTCTTACAAACGGCAATATGAGGTAACAAATACATGTCGTATGACCATAAAATTCTTATATTGTGAGTTAAATGATAGACAGAATAGGATGTCTCAGCGGAACGTTTGTTGACGCCTTGTTTTACTKTATTTTAGAATTTCAGTCAGAAAATTGCTGAAGTTGTTGAAACGTAAGTGCCCAGCTTTAAATGTGCTAATATTTCATTACATAACTTACATTTACTCTAAATATTAACCAAAAACATTTGCAAAATCTCAAAGAAACTGTGTTGTTCGTTTACTCACTGCGTRTTTTTGTTCTTCCAGACACGACATGAAGAAGAAAGCGATGCTTGTAAGTAAAACCGAGTACAAATCGACAATTCAACCATTACTGAATTAACTTGATGTGTTTGATGTGCTGTAGGTCATTCTTTCTGATGGAGTCAAGGCCTATTCAAAGTAAGAAATAAAAATCTATCAATCTAAAGATATTAAAGATTCTCTTCTTACCAAATGAGCTGTTTATTTAATAACAATGTCTCATCTCTAGGTTGGAGGCAGAAAACAAAGAACTCAAGGTAGAGAAAACGATGAAAATGGCGGCGAACTTAAGCTTAAGTTATCAGCAGTCACCGAGTTTGTTAGACTTATAATAATAAGTGTTTTTTGAATAGAACTGAGCTATTACTGGTTAATGGCTTGAGGCTAGTCTTTTCGACTATTTACCTTAAACACATCCCCTTGTTCCATCAGGAAGACAAACAATGAACAAAAACTTCCAGACCTTATAACGATGACATCTAACATCTCGTTGCCGCCATTTTGAATCATACATTTTACTACACAGGAAGACCAATAATAACGACAMAGGAATCCCATTCTTAATGTTTTTATATAAATTTCCATTTTATTATTTWATTTGCAGAGACTTGTTGAAGAACATGTCAATCATGACAAACTTGAAGATGAACTAATGCAATTGAAGGTAAATTTCGTCTTAGTAAAAAAAAACGTGGAGACTGTTCCTTTGGGTGTCATTCTACTTAGAAACATAAAATTAACTTGAWCTAAGAGAACTTCTTTTCTACAGATGCAGTTACAGGAACAGGATAGGTAAGAAAATAATTGATCTCTAGCACTAGCATTGGTTTGATTAATTGCCAACCTAGTCCCCATGCCATCATCATCCCTTCGTTTGGGGTAACCGACTGCTAGTTGATTGACATTCATATATTCATGATTTCATTTCAGGAAAATCGAAGAACTCGAATCAGTTAAAACTCCAACACGAAGACCAAACGTCTTTGCACGAATTCACAATTGGTTGAGAGAGAAATTCTCGTCGAGTTCATCATGATGATCGCTGCTGTACCTGATCATTACTCGGGAACCGTCTTGCATGATTACAATGTAACATGGTTATTTACTGTACTGTGAATTATAGTGTACAATATTGTAATAAAGTCATGTACATAGATTGATATCAATCACATCAAATTGCTGATCTTACATTACCATGTGCCTCCCCACCCCTACCCCAAAGATTTTGACAAATTTAATAAATGAAGCGGAATAATTAAAATATATACCATTTTTCATGTGTGCCCCCAAAATTTCCCTTATTCCAGTTCCCGCTACACCAGGTCAGATACGGAACATATCTATTTTCTCTGGATCGTCCTACGTAAATCTATGGTCACATGTAATSCTGTGTCATTTTCTTTTTCAAGATTAATTATTAAAAAACGAAAAGTATGCAAATCTTGCTTTTATTTTTAGGTACCGAATTCAATTAACACCGTTGTTGAAACTTTTTTCTTGAATTTCATGGATATTCATATTGCATAGGACAATCATTAACACCATAACTGGACGTATTGCTYGATTCTGATTATTGACTTTTCATTTATATATGTAACGAGTTTCCGTCAAATATTCGCTTATCCTATAATACTTGAGTAAATAAATTGGAAGATTGTTTCACGGCAAATATCCGTAGACCATATTCGATTCCGACTAGTTATTTTGGCATTTACTACAAGTTGTCTGTAGCAGAGAAAGTTCACAAACAAATTTCTACAAATCTTCGCGGTATGCTGCCTAAACCTGATGCTGGCAAGTAAAATATTTAAATGATGATGAATTCAGAGTTAATTATTCCCGTTAGGCAGGCATTAAATTTCATGATTTACAGGTGGATTGGCAGATTGACACTATAACCCCTTTGGCAACAGTTATCGTTCATTGCAAGTCTTGAAAAAAGGACATAGGACAATGAATCAGAGTAACAGAGTTAACGATGTATCAAGAGATGCAGTTTGGATATGGTTTGCTTCATTTTCATTGGTTGGGCTGATCTCTATCCTTCTCAACATAGCAACAATTGTAACTTTTCTTGTTGACAACCATCTTCAACGCCGAAGCTTCTACTGTTTAACTAATCTTGCTATTGCTGACATGATTCAAGGGACAAGTCGTTTACTTAATTCCATGTGTGATTTGAGTAATAAACTTCAATTCAACGAGTGCTCATCAAAAACCCAGGCAATCTTAGGGACATTGTTATGGTTCTGTGTCTTTTTATGTTTGATGGCACTGGATGTTATCGCACTGCAGCAAGTCTATGCAACTTTTAGACCATTTAAGAACCAAATGATGTCTAACAAGAAATACGCTATGGGTTTTGCAGCCATTTGGTTCGTGGCTTTAGTAATTTCCTTATTACATCACTTCCTTCCCAATTCCTGCCAATTCCCATTCAATGTCGCCTCATATTGCTACGCAATCATTTTAATACTAATAATAATCTTGAGTTATAATGCTGTATTTATCAAAGTAAGAAAACAAAACCAACAGCTCCATCAACAATCGTCGACAGCACGACAACAACAAGAAAGCAAACTTGCAAGGACTCTTGCCGTTATGACTTGCCTGTACCTTGTGTCATGGTTGCCATTTATGTATTTTCAAATTACAAAGATCATTGAATACGACGTGAACTTTCACGTCCATTATGGCATCAAGTTAATTCAGACCTGTAACTCTTTAGTCAATCCAATCGTTTATGTCTTAAGGATCAGGGAATTCAGACAATCGTTTTTAAAGATAATACAGCACTTCAAGTGTATATAGCCATTTTATACAACGTTGATAGTGAGACGGACCAATGCTCCACTATGCATATAATATTTATTATTTATGATTGTAAATAGACTGAAAAACCAGTTCTCTGGAGTTTTTATTATAAAGATAGTATTATATTCAGTGATAAAAACCACAGGAAAAAGTCGACAAACCAGATTTGTTTGAGTTGAAACAACAGTATCGACTACCTTTTATTGGTGAATATTTGCATCAATAATCAATACCCATGGTAACTTTCGGCCTTGCAATCTCCGGGTAACAGTGCGTGAATGACCAGTAGTAAAATCAAGGTATAAACTCATTCTAACTAACTTTTAAACTTTCGAAAATTCAAGAAAATATGAATAGTCCATAGTCCATAGTCCCGATCTTTCGTTCGAAAACAGCGCGAGAAAGAACTTGGAGAATGGCACACAAAGGGTTTACATGCAATTAGAACAGGACCATGAAAGAGAGAAAGCCAACATTGGAGCATAAAGAAACAGGTGGTTACTTTTTCTCTCAGATATTAAGTCCCAAGTATCGCTCTCTTTTTTATAGTAATAGGAGGAGTCAGCGCATGTACTTGATGGGGGTCCTGTGTTGTTCAGGGTCCATTTAGCACGTGCATCAACCGAACACCATCAGTCACGGAAACAACATCCAAGATAGCAAGGTAAAYATTTCTTTTTAAATTCACATTAAAATAATATTATAATAAGCGCATTTTACGAGTTTTCTTTTCTTTCTGGTGTTGTTTCATGATGGCGCTATAACAATTCTTAACTTCAGGTTCCGCAATACGCTTTCACAGCACTGGTTTTGGTTGAATTCATTTCTTCTTTCGTGATATTTTCTCTAAAACGTCTCTTCATTTTATCCATTTTAAACCTTTCTTCATTAATATACATTGTCATAACTTTGATTTAATCCTTGATTCTTTACTACAAGCAAGTTGTCATTGTACTCTAATATATCGTTTTTTCCCATTTTACTYGAGTCTCTAGAAATAACTATCACGATACCTTTTATAATTGTTTTTGTTTWACGTTATTTTATTTTCCAGGATGACCAGCGTCACCTGTACTCATTTTTTCGCCGATTTTGCTTCTCGATTGAATAAAATTCGTCGCGATAGTCAATTCWGTGATGTGATTATAATCGTCAATGGTAAAGAATACAGCGCACATCGTGCTATACTCGCTGCATCTTCTAACTACTTCCGAGCATTATTCACGACTGCTATGATAGAAAAAGACAGCAGAATAGTTAACTTGGACATCCCATCGGCCATCACCGAGGAACTGCTAACCTTTCTATACACTGGAAGCACTGTTTTATGTGACTCGAATGTGAAGGATCTTTTAATTGCTGCAGATTATCTTATGATCGATGAGTTAAAGCATTTATGTGAGAAATATTTCTGTCAAACCCTTTCATCATTTAACTGTTTACAAAAGTACTTTCTTGGCGTTAAATACAACTGCCATGAGCTGAGGAAACAAGCAGAAACTTTTGTTTTGAAACAATTTCCATTGTTATGGAAAAGCGACGATTTTAAGGCCCTCGATCATTACCAATTAATGAATATCATTTGTAGTGACGACCTTGTTGTGGATAGTGAAGAACAAGTTTATGAAGCGATCGTTTTATGGATTAACTACCAAGTGAAAGAAAGAGCACAGTTCTTTGACAAGCTTTTCCAGTGCATTCGTTTAAGTTCGTTATCGGAAGATTTTGTCAGAAACAAAGTGGCACAAAACCTGCTGGTCAAACAGGGCAATGCATGTACTATAACACTTGTAAAGGAACGACTACAATCTATTTATAACTGCCATAAATCAAGGAAGTGCTTACAAATAAGAGAACAAAGTATTGTATGTATCGGAGGRCGYGCAGTAGGAAAAGCAGTAAAAGACGTAATAGTTTACCAGCCGCACCACGACGAGTGGCAACAGCAACCTGAGACACCTACAGATAAAGAAGAACATATTGTTCTCTTATGCAACAACAATCTCTATGTCATTGGCGGTATGAGAAATCCCAACAGTGTTSAGTGCTTTCATCCTGGTACAAACCAGTGGTCAACAGTGGCTCGTTTACCACAGAAAGCTATATCATCTGCTGGAGTTTGCGTTGATGAGMAAATCTTTATCATTGGAGGAAAAGATGGCTCAGCTAAAAGTGTATCKACAGTACAGTGTTATGATCCATGTAGCAACACTGTAGAAACACTACCGTCCTTACCCTACCCCCGCCAAGCCTTGAGTGCAGTAGTACTCAATGGTRAYATMTACGCTATYGGAGGATGYACATGCAATGATACATTTAAYACAGTCGACAAGCTCAACCTTAGCAACGGTTTGTCATGGCAACAGACCCCGCCCATGAAACACCCCCGTAAGTATACAAGCGCAGCTGTACTTGGAAGTGGACGGATACTGGTAGCTGGTGGATAYCAATATAATAATCCARCTGCWTTAAATAGTTGTGAGATTTATAATCCATTATCTAATGTCTGGCATGARGTATGCAGTCTTAATGTACCACGTGGTGCTGCTGGCGTAGGATGCATTGGTAATCGTATGTATGTATTAGGTGGACGAAGCAATGCCACTAGTACTGATACTATCGAACACTATGATGAGAATGATGATGATTGGTGTATAATTCCAGGACGCTTGCCTTATCCCTGTGCATGGCTACAATGTAGCKTTATCTCCGCTGAACACTTCTTAATTAACGACGATCGATTATAATTTGAAACAATATAGTAAAGGAACATCAATTTGCCTCATCCTACGCGGAGTTACAACCTAGAGGTCAAATGATGTCGACTTATTTCATCGTAAGAATTTAAGGAAAAAAAAGCAAAATGAAACAATATTTCCTCCAAAAGATTTTAAATTTTCATTATATTTTTTAACGATGCAGAAAAACTTCTCGTATATATTTGCTTGACTCTAAAATCATTAGTACTTAATAAAACAAAGAAGCCTAGATTAGGCACAGGTACCACGTGTTCTGTAAACCTGTAAAAAGTACATGTGAAACTATTGGGAATCGGCCAGGAACCAGCGAACATACCAGGTACAAGCTGTGTCTTTGTTACTTCATGTTGGTTGTCGAAATATGAAGTAATGACGGGATTGTGATTCAGTGTACGAACAAAAATGGATGTGATGACAGATTCGATAAATCGGTAGCAMTTAAAATCGCGCGCGATTTGCAAAATAAGGTGGTACTCAATTAAAACCTTTTTCCTAATAAAATAAGGAAAAAAAGCAATAAGAGTGTCTTACAAGACAACAATTACAAATTATTTCATTTATCATTTAACATACATAATTTTATTTTTTCCTTTGGGCTTTAAACTTTGAAACTCGTTTAGGTTCTGATTTGGTTGCCTGAAAAACAAAAACTGCTATTATGTATTGGGCATGCGCATAAAACAATTGTCCTTAGAAATCACGTAATTCAAATAATATTTTTCTAATCCTATGTCTCACCTGAGATATGGATTCTACATTGTTTGTTGTCCTGTCTATTATTTTCCCTGAGAAAGCCTGTGGGAAGATTGAAMATTGTTGAAAACAGTCAGAGTTTGAGGTGGTTAAAAAGAAAAGTTGAAATTTGAAAGTTGAAAAAATTGAAATTCTTAGTAGCGGCCCTACATGCCACCTAGGTATAACAGGAATGATGATGAAAAAGAAAAGCAGGCTATTTTTAGTTCCTAATCTCGAGGACACCAGTTCTTCTCGGTCAAGATTATCAACACAGGAAGACCAAAAAGTCCAAAAAGGAAACTACAATTGTAGCCCAATCAAATAAATACATTCTTACCATTAGAACATTTGGTTTTTCCTCATAACTTTGTGATGTAGAAGGCAGTTGTAGTTCATTATGAAGTGGTTGGTGTAAAGAACTTGTTGTCTGTTCTTGGGATTCTAGTTCAAAACTTGGTGTTTTAAGAATAGATTTAGGTTTTTCTTGAATTTCTTTCTCAAAACTTGGTGTTTTGAGGATTGATTTGGGTTTTTGCTTGATTTTGTTGTAAATGTCTATTGGCGTATTTATCGAGTCTTGAGTAAATGACAACTAAAATGAAGAAAGAAATGAAAACATGAGTAAAATAAAAACATGAAAAAACAAAAACTAATCAATACACGCTAGTTATAAAGATATTTGCAAGATTATTAATTTTGATCAAAAAAAGGAATTGAGGTGCATCAACGAATAAATGCATGAATGAAAAGATGGCAACCTGATATTGATTTTCGTAGCTTCTTGTCCTACAGCAAGAAATATAGTTCTGACAAAGAGAAATTCTGACTTTTTTTGCTTACTTTTGCAGTTTCTTCTTTCAGTTTTGTAAAATTGACTCTAATAGTTTTGTTTGCATATAAATCTTCATAACCTTGACTATCATCACTATCGTCACTCTCAGTCTTGATTTCATGGGAAAAACTAACACCAGAGCTTGCTTCACTATCTTTGCACTGTGTTTCATTGGTATTTGTAATATGTTTATTGTCAATGTCTATTTGATCTTCTTCATTAAACTCAGTTGAATTCAATTCTTCATTGATTCGTTCTTGAGCTTCAAGTTTGTCAAGTTTAGCAAATAAGTCTTTGTCCTGAGAAGAGAGGTTMTCTCTCAGACTATGTGAYTCAAATTTCTTTACTCTYTTCRGTGCAAAGTCTTTGGACTTTTTATGAGCTACYCTTGGTCCTCGACCAGGTCCTGAAACTTCAAAATACAAAAGTCATGATATCTTTGTCTACACATTGATGCAGTTCTAATAWATCTATTTCCATTTATCATTGAACAAATTCTACTCCTTATTTTTATCTACATGTATGGCATAGACATGGTGTGTACCTTCTTGCAATTCTTCCTTGATTTCTACAATTTCATTTTGACCCTGTAAATTAAAAATGAAAATGTACATTCAGCTCTTACTGTAACACAAACTCAACACTACATTATCTCTATCATCAGGTTTTTTAACCAGAAAATCAATAAACAATAAATATTATTGATTAATTAATCAATTAATCAATCAATCAATAATCAATCCATATAATAACAACATATTACCAAAACAATTTCTTGAGCAAATCAAATAACCAACCAAATTATAAAAGAAATGAATAAATTCATAAATCAATCAATAATAAACTATAAATCATGTCATTGTTGATTACCTTATTCATAGCATTTATATCCTGAGTAAACTTTATTTGTGATGTGAAAAAGTCTATTTCATTATTGATTGCCCTGATGTTCTCATTGATGGATTGCTGTCGTCTTTTGACAATGTCAACTGCTTGTGAAGCTGATCTCTCTGCAAACCARTTATCTCCAAGAAGAACAAGAATTTCATTGGTATGGATAAGTTTTCCTGGCATGAAAGCAAGAGATCCAAATGGTACCTGAAAAATCATTACATAATGTGTTATAATCTAAGCAATATTTTTTATGATATAAGTTATATTAAAATAATTAATGATGATGATGATAATGATGACAATTTATATCAAATTCACACATGTTTGTGCACAAGGGCTGAAGTCAGCTTATTCAATAAATCTTTGTGCAGTTGATTGCAAACCAACTTATTTAAATAAACTTACCATGACATCATGGCTGACCTTGCCAGGCAGAAACTTTAAYGTTTCTTCTAGAGACTTGTACTCACTTTGAAATGATTTCCTGCAAATGACCGAAAGTATCAGAGGGTGCATTGTTGGGGTGTACAGGTAGAGACACTCCACACCACAGATGTACAAATAAATGATTACACATTAAATATCATTACAGACCAAACACGTACTCGTGGTAAGCTTTATACAGAATTAAGCATTAACATCACTATTTGAAAAGTTGTAGCAACTGACCATGATGAWAGCCTWTCTTGTAATTCTGCGACAGCCTTTGAAACAAAACAATACACTCAATGTAAGTAGAGAAATAACATTTCGCCACTAAGGGAATGAATAAGCTTACTGCTTTCCTCTCTTCTTTCAACCTTGTAGGAAAACCATCAGCCATGATTACTCTAGCCKAGAGAGACTCAGTACAAACTTTGTAGCTTCTCAGAGGGGACCCCTAGGGATAAGAATAATATGTCCTAGTCTCCAATCAAATACTCTCTAAAAACCTAAGAATGACTCGTGCAGCTTTCTTAATACCAAATATAGGAATGAAAATTATTTAAATGATTAAAACTAACTAACTTTGAACAAACAAGTAGGTACAAAAATTACGCACGCTACCTCCCTACCCCYCTGGAGAAACAATACCCACAATTCGTTGAGGTATGCATCAAGATGGCGGTCAACTGGTCRACGGATGTTGTGGTTGTTGTCATTGCCATTTTTGCAGTAAATAATCGCTATKTAGTTAAGAAGCCATAGTAMCTAGCATAATTCTGTGATGGAAAATTACGTGCTTTACGATGAGATTGGTCGAGGCGAGCGATCTGTCGTGTATAAAGGCAGAAAGAAAGGGACCATCGAGTTTGTTGCTATACATTGTGTTGACAAAACTAAACGATTTGAACTTAGAAATATGGTTCGTCTTACTCATGACCTTGCTCATCCTAACGTAGTGACGTTCCACGAGTGGTACGAGACTACAAACCACATCTGGATGGTAGTTGAGCTTTGCACGGGATACAATTTAGATGTGCTTATCTCGCAAGACAAGTTTCTACCWGAAATAACTGTCAAACACTTTGCAGTAGAAATTATCAAAGCATTGTTTTATATCCATTCGTTAGGGCTTGTCTATTGTGACTTAAAACCTTCTAAATTACTACTTGATGGTCCTGGAAATGTCAAACTGAGTGACTTTGCATTAGCTAGAGTTGAAGGTGAAGATGATATTTTTGACTTGGCTGTGGATGATGGTGATGATTATGATGCTAGAGATATAGCTTTTCCCAAACCTTCACCACATTACATGGCTCCAGAGGTACTCATGGGATCAACATACAGCAAAGCAAGTGATCTTTGGTCACTTGGATGCCTTTTATTTGAACTTTTTACTGGAAAGCAACCTTATACTGCTGCATCTCTTGAAGAACTTGTCGAAAAGATTCTTGGTGATCCATGCCCAGCAWTAAAACAAGAACTGAAAGGAGAAACTATTGAGGGATCAAAAGAATTCCAAGAACTTATAAAACAACTCCTTATAAAAGATCCTCCACAGAGACTCAGCTGGTCAGAGCTGATTGTACACCCTTTCTTTGACCACGCATTAGATGAGCTATTAGAAAKCACAASTGATTGTAGTATGCAAACAGAAATAAATGCACATGAAGAAGGTGAAAATCATGATATTGTTATCAAAGAATGTGATGGAATTGAGGAAGAAATAGATGAAAGTGAAAGAGAAGTGGGAAWTGGTGAAATAGATAAGATCCCAGTAGACAAGGAGGTCAAACAAGGCACATACACCTTCAAGAGTTTACCCAAAAATGTTGCTGCWAAGYTGGAGGAATTGAAAATTGAAGACCAAAGAAATGGACAAAATGATGCTCCAACATCCCAAAGGAACTTTAAACAGGTTAAAGGTACCTCCAAACATGTRAATTCAATGACTGAAAGTACAAAGCACAGTAAAAGTCTGTCTAGTAATAACACATYACTTTYATCAAGTCTTGGAAAAAAGACAGTTGTATTGAATCAAGTGAGCAGTACTTGTGGCAATCTAGGAGAAACTACTTCCCCATCTTCATCAGATCTCATCTTTCATGCATCAGACTTTGTAGTGGCTCCAATTGTTGATAATACCAAAATAAAAAAGTTTGCTCCTGYCAAGTTTGATRCRAAAGCATTGTGCTGCCAACCACTCAAAGCYGAGGAGATWCTTGRCATGTCAGATGAGGAAATAGSTGCACATTTTAATGCAATAGAGACCTTGTTTTCTCCTAAGCAAAAGGGTAATGCATCATCTATGCAGCGATGTAAACTACATACYTCAGCATACCTGTCATCACTATGTCGTCATGGAGATATCGCTAACTTAGTGTTTGAGTCAGGATTAATTCAAGTTTTGCTCTACCAAGTAAAAAATGGATTTTCYTCTGATTTGAAAGCAAGAATTGGTAAGATGCCCATCAGACATCATTTTGCTTCTTGTACAAATTTCTTAATTGTTACAAAACAGATTATAATAAAGTTATTTCTTGTTTTTTTTTTAGCTCATTGTTTGGGTTTGCTTGCTGGCTCAGCTACTTTGATATCAGAAGATTTTCACATGACTGAAGTTTTTACAGTATTAACAGAAGTGATTCGAGACAACTTCCGCAACATTCAACTCAAACAGCATCTGGTACCTGCTTTGGGAGAGTTTCTTTTCTATGCCTCAACACAGGAAGACACTGAAGGAAGACAGATTGCTAAGTGGGATGTTCCTGGTAAAGGCATTTACTGATGCAACCTTTATTTTAGGATTTAGTAAGAATTTGCCCTTTCATGGTCTGTGCAAAAAAGTATATGAAATCAAGCCTTCTAATCACAAATAGTGTTAACTTATGTTTAAGGTACCAAGAGAGATAGTCATATGAATAGTAGGAGATGATTGTAATAATATTGTGTTTTATTTTAAGGGACTACTTTTGTAATCATAACAAGATGTTTGAATGAYGGTGAAGACATTTATGTGCAACACTTTGCTGCCAAGACGATTGAAAATATTGCTTCTACTCATGGTCGACACTGTGCCAAGTTTGTCARCAATGACACAGCACAGGTAATAAAAAATACATTAAATTAATATAACAAAGGYAAATCTAAATTATAATGATATGAACATTGTTTTGTCTTCAGCTCTTATGGAAGCTCTTTACACACTGCACTGTAGATAACCAGAAAGTGACAGCTATATCAGCATTGTGCCGTCTTGCCTGTCAATCAGTCAATGTCTTCCAATATGTGGTAGAAAAAGCAGGCTTCAAGAAAGTGGTTGATGCTTTCTCTAGTAGTGTATCACAAGTACAGCAAGCAATGTTAACTATGTTTGCTATGTTACTCACTACAAAACCTCAAGCCAGACGAGCCATACAGGAAAAGGAGCTGGTTGGCAAGGTAATGCGTCTCTTTGAGAGTCCATCTCCAATTATAAGAGGGAAAGCATTTCTTGTTATAATGGCTGTAGTACAAGGAAGCAGGGAAGCTTTGTTAACAAGTTGTCAGGCTCGTCTAGTGATGCACATAGAGAAAGACCAGCGMCGTGGTACACCAATGAAAGATGAAGCCAMTGATAAYCAAGTTTATCTTCTGCATTGCCTGCATTACTGCATTTTGTCAGTTGTTGATACTGCATTGAATATCCTGGAAGATGTCTTGACTGCYCTTGGAGCWGTRGAAGGTAGACGACATCCTTCAGCTTCACATACCAAGCAACTAAGAACACACTTACCCAACCTTCCTGTYATACTTCATTTGATTACAAGTCATGCCTTCCGATCCATTATTATAACAGAAGMCTTCCTGTCCAAAACTGGCACCCTTCTTGGTCATGTGAAATCAGTTGATTGTGGAGAGACTAACATTGGTACTACAGCAGGTCACAATGCCGCRCAGGACTTGACGTATGTAGTTCTGTCTGTGGTAGAGTGTATCACGCAGCATCCYCCATTACTATTAGAGTTTGYRGTACCCATATCAGACCATATTCTTCCAGTACTTGTTGAGTTGGTGCATAGCGCTAATGGCAATACAAGGGCTTTGTGTTTCCGTTTGTTTTCTGAGGTAGCTTCACTGTACTTGGATAATGGCAACATGTGTAGTTCTATCAATACTGCAGACAGTTTGTCAAATGTTCCCACAGAAAAACTGAAACAGGTATGGAACACTAATCATTTGTCAGGTTAAGAAAAGTAATAGACGAGTTTAGATATTTTGGTTCAGTGACCATGCACAAAAGAATTGCRGACGAGGCTCCGGGGAAACAAAAGAATAAATCAAGATTATCCATTGATAATTTTATTTTTTTTAATATTTCAAAGAATTATTTTGAAGTGCACGCTTCAAAATGACCAATCAAAGAGCGTATAATATCGTTTTATTCTTTATTTCCCCGGAGCCTCGTCTGCAATTCTTTTGTGCATGGTCACTGAACCAAAATATCTAACTCGGCTATTGATGTCAGTCCCCAAGTGTTTTACTGCAATGTTKTACTATTAACTAAGACCTTTCTCTATGTATTATGAATACTTTATTGGTTTGTCATTCAGGTCATATCAGAAAAGCTTCTCCCTCAGTATCATCTCATTCTACAAGACCAGAATCCTTTGCCAGCTTATGGGCTCAAGCTGCTGGGTTCCCTAATGGATCGGTGCCCAGACTCCTTGCAGGACTTCCTAAACCAAGACCTAGTGCTGTCATTGYTACAAATTGTTAATTCCCACTCTCAYGAAGGCAATGCMTCTATGAGTGAAACGGTTGTTGCTTTGCTTAAAACARTCTTAGTGAACAAAGAGGTTGAAATGGCTGTACTTTACCAACAAGGTTTGATTGACAGTATCAAATCACTTTTCCTGGACGTCCCAGCTCTTCTAGCTGAAACTAATCCAGATAATGATGACACTTTACCTCTACTTTCACTATTGGATGTTCTCTATGTTGTACTGAAGTATGTATCTAAAGAAGTTCGCCATGCATTACATGAGAGAAGTAAAGATTCCAGTGCAAGTGAAAGTCTAAACCAAGCAGCAGAAATCTTACTTATGAACACTAAACCCATTGCAGATGTCACTGGTGTTTTAATCAGTTTTCTTGGGAATGACGATAGTAAAGTTCAAGAGGGAGCTTGTAAAGACTTATATCTCATGGCAGAGCTATTTGGTGGACTGTATGAAGACTCAATGAGTCCTGAMAATGTGAGATGCTTTGCTGTWGCCTTACAGAGACAAGATGATGTGGCCCAGAAGCAGCTATTGAGGATTATTAAGAGAATAATCTCATCAAACAGCCAACATTGCAAAGCTATTGTCAGTCATGGACAGGCTTTGYTAGAGGTCCTCCATCAACTGGAAACCCATTCTGAGGTTGACACAATAAAGACACTTTCTCAAGAAGTCCTTCACAAAATTGGTGTGTGATGTAAATAAAGTTGGCATTTAAGACCCCTTGGGAATAAAATTCTTTGTTTTCAATGACTGCCAGGAGAGTATATGAATATGAATGAATCCAACTCAAARGGTMTAARTGGGACAAACATTGCCRAAGCTGAGGTCTATAGACACAGCAGTAATGAAAACAGTGAACATTAATGACAGGTCAGAATAGTTGAAATTTTAGGCAGCTTTGCTAATTTATATTACCTATGGAAAATATAGCTTGTAATACCATAAAACTTACAAAATGCACTGCTTCAATATGTTTTGTGGTCTTTTAAAGTGTTTTCGTCATACAACAAATATTTATATCTATTTTATTTTTGTTCACATTTTGAGTGAAAAGACAAAATAAAGCTATATGAATTATTATTTTTTGGATTGCTCTTTTAATATGTGTTCTTTTTTGAGCTAAAACCAGTCTGAATGTTCTCCCATCCACCAAGTACAAAGTCAAATGCTAGTAGAAGCTCTAATACTCCTTGTTTAAAAGGATGTGTTACTTCTAGAGTAWTCTAAATTATGTAATATAAAGTGCCTACATTCAGACCTTTTGATGATAAGACAAGACAACAAAATATAGATAACATTTTATTATAAACATATCAATCCACAAATCATTCTTTAAAAATTTGCACTATCTAAAATAAAACTATATAAACATGAGGATATTCAAGATTTGGTGAATATTTCTCTATCAAATTCATTGCCAATTAGTGCAGAAATTCCTRTACAAATTTTCATGACAATGTAACATTTTCTTCAAGGCACTGTTGAAAAACTTGGCCAACTTAAAAAGGGATGTCAGGATTTCACRTCAAAATGTAAATGTTCTTTTTACAYGAAGTGCTTTTAATGCCTTTGGCTTACTGTAAAACTGGCTTTAATATAAAGCAAAGTTAAATCAGTCAAGATTATTTTTTGTTTTTAAAACAGACGCTTTCTAAAACAATGATGCAAAGATCAAGTACATTGATTTAAAATTCTTGTTACTTTAAGATTTTGTAAAAAGTATTTTTTGAAAAAGTATGTTATGAAAATAGATMTAAAATAGATTAAAATGCATGATTTCAATATGTGTACATGTGGCGCGGCCACATTATTGTGAAGGTGGAAGTATCTTTTTKGTACTGCTTGGTGGGGTTAATGGTGTAAATTCAGGTTGTACTGGTGGGCTTGGTGTTCTGCGCTCTTGAGATACTGTGCATGGTACAGAAAGGGACTGAGCTCTTTCCTGAAACAGCAAAAAAATTATCATCACTGTTGAAAACTAGTTACACAAACATAATCTTCAAATGATTACTATGTGTTTTCATACAACAAGTCCTTCTCAATGTTGATCACTTAAGCCATGGAAGGTACAGTGCACAATTATTATTACACTAAATGCTGTAATAGTTTTCTTACCAGCATTGCTAAATTGTTGTAATGAATCTGGATATTATGGGCATCTTCTTGTTTAACCTAGAAAAGAAAGTTAGTTTGTTYAGATGCATACAATGAAATTTGAGATTTATGCACGAGTCAGGTGAAGTAAAGGTCATGGAGTGAAGAACATGACAAAAATTGCTTCTGATTTCTTACTTGGTCAAACTTCCGCAACACAGGTTCCTCCTTGTCCCTGATAACAGTAGCAAATGACTTCATCCATTGGATRCAGGGATATAACTCTTCCCACTTGTGACCTAAACAAACAATCAAACCATGAAATGAGTCATAAGTYATAACATTTTTATCAAATATTTAATTACATAGGCATAGCAATTTACCTGTAATGTCCTCAATGTTGACAGGAAGGATATGATACAATGCTGATGAGGTTAATATACTGTAAGAAAAGTGAAGACTTCCAATATCCAAGCTGCACAAATCTAAAAGCTGAAGAAAAAATATCAGTACACTATCAGACTAAGTGGAATTTGTCAGCTTTTAATGCTGGAGTGAGAAAATAAGAGATGATATTATAGCAATTATTTTTTTTATATCATTTCAAATAATTATTCTAATAAAGTGATGTAGGATCTCATGAAAAAAAGAATTCCTTTAATGTCATTGTGAAGGAAAGTCTTTGGATCTGTCAATACGATCCACCAGCTAACRACCTACCTCAGCAACTTTCAAAAAGTCCTTTTGACAGTACTCAGGATAAACAAAGTTGGTTTTCTTTGCTTTAGGGTTGTCCTTAGAAGATGATAACCAGTAGAGTTGTAAGTAGATGTTTAGCCAGGTGTTRCATGTAACTGGGCAAAGATTCCAATTCAAATCCTTTAACATCACAAGTTCTTGTCTCAAAATCTCCTCTTCTGTGCATGCCCCATCAGTAACATAAGCAAACTCAGAGAGCTTGGGAGGATAAATTTCCTGTAAAAAGACAAAAACATGAGAAATTCTTATTCCAGCAATAACTAAAGTAGGGAGGTTTGCATTTTTCAATGAAAACAGACGTCCTAAACCACACTTACCTCAATTTTAGCTGCAATAAACAATGCTGTTGTGCCAATAAGCTGTAGTCTTTGTTTGGGAATATCATGCTTTATAGTAAGATATCTATCAATGAAGTCTACTGCTAGATAGAATGTTTCTCTGTGAAGTCTGTATACTTCACATACCTGGCAAAGTAAAACAGGATAGCTTTAGAAAAACTACAAATAACCTGCAATATGCCCAACAAAACACAATGAGCAGACTCCATAATATTTAAGTATGGCAAACTTTACAACCAAAAGTTCACATAAACACAAAAAAAACATGCTGATAAGATACATTGTTTCAGTTTGGCACAATCTCAAGTCACATAGTTGGTCTCCAGCATTCYCACTCACTTTGAAACCTACCTCAATCAACCAGTCTATTAGAATACTCCTCATTCTTGGTAGTAAATTTTTATGATATCTCAAATACAGAGCATCTCTTGTGTATTTCCTGTCCTTTTCCAACATATGAACCCACAATTCTTCAGCACTTGCCCAGTTAAGTTCTGGTAGAGGAGTAAGCTTGCGTACAACAGGAACAAAAAAATTTGAAAATGTAAAATTGGAAGTGTGTCTATCCCTACTGGAMAGCTCTTTAGTTTTGACATTGTCCATTAAAGTTCTTTCCTGTAATATTCTATTGCTTTGTGTAATTCCTTTTTCTATATTTCTAAATGAGCTGATGCTTCCTTCAGTTTTACAGAGAGTTTCTGMCATCTTCTTGTTATTCTGTAGAGAGAGAATAAAAATAATTTATTAAAAGATGTTACTTTTATAWTCTTTTCATTATAAAGCCAAATTGTAAACAACTTGACCTTTCATGTTATTGTAAGTCTACTGTTCAAGGAGTGAGGAATATTCAAAGTTCATGCCAAATCTAGAAAATTCCTGGGATTATTAGCTATCTCTATTTTGTATYCAGTTAATATCTTACTAATCCTGAAGCCCTCTTGGAGTATTTTTTTAAATCTATTTTTCCATCATTGCAAAATATGTTAAAATCTATTTCAATGCATATATGGATTGATTGTATGAATCTGGTACAATAACTGTGGACAYAGATTGTTTGTCTTTCGTGATAACTGGATTAGGAAATTTAATTTTCACATATTTAAATTTGTTAGCACATTGTAAAGGATGCAGAGTATGGCACAATCACTGMATACCAAACAAAGAAATTATAAGGTAGCTAAGCTTCGTTTCAAATTTCTCAAATGCAAGCTTCTTTAAATCGTAGAAAGAAAAGGTAAATATGAAAACAGAYATTTTCTAAGAGCAAAGTAAGGAATTATTGATGTTTGGAAGGTTGGGCTTGAAGAAGTCAGCATGGTCTATCATCATAATTCGATCAATGAATACAAAATTCATTACTAGTCATATTCCAACACAACTGGTTAACTAAAAATACTCAATTGCAATATTTGGCTTTTTAACATAAAAGAACTTCCTGAATTCAGCGTTCAATAAACCAATGTTAAAATTCTTCTGTCAACAATCATCTCGAAGTGTTAAATGGTGGCTTTCGATTTTGAGGCATTCCAGGTCTGAGAGGAATCATATTTATAATTCTACACAATAATAATACCTTTGAGAAACTATTTAAATTAATTTTAACCGTTCATACACAAAATGTGCTAGTTTCAGGTATGTTTTTATTGAGAACATCTTTGTAAATTTCAAGATGGCGGGAGATGTTGGCGCGAAAACCAACAAAGCAAGCAGGCACCAACTTGTTGCTTTACCTACCTTAATTCGTCTTGACTTTCTAAGTTTTTTCGAAATGGTTTTCGATACAACAGTGTCTTCTTTGGTCTAAAAAGAAGTAAAAATATTAGATTATGACTAAGCATTCAGGCTCGATCATCATGCAAATCATGTTGTACCTTTCGAGTCCTCCTGGGTCGGTTTTCAAGAGTCGAGTCTTGCCTTGAAATAATTCCACTAAAAATTCAAAATTTAATTCATTATCTTCTTTCCAAGCAAGACAATTCATATAATCGTAAGCTACATGAAGCAACAACAACAAAAATATTCAGTGACTTCGATATTTCATCGTCGATGAAATGGATTCAAACAAGTCTGAACTGAGGCTAAAAAACTACAAAAATCTCACCTTTTGCTGGCCATTTATTCTTCTCGTTTTGTAATGAAAGCCACCAGAGCTAGATCAGAACCTGAAAAAGTTTTATCTTGGTGAATATCAATTTTAAAACGACAATTTCAGGCTCCGATGACTAGCCTATCTGGCCGGCTTCATCAGAATGAATGAGACTCGATTTGGCGCCGATTTACAGAATATCCCGCCAATCCAAACAACCAATCACAGATCAGAAAATCCCTCCTGGGAATACCATTCAAGTGTCACTTTAATACGCAGGCGTACAAAGGTAATCCAAAATCGCGCGTTTTTCAAGTTCTATTTACATTTCGCCTACATTTTTTCGCTGCTATCTTTTTATAAATACATAAAAACCGAACACAATACAGCATGCAGAGAGCACTATTGATGCATGTCACGCAATGCTTCATGTTTTGTAATCAACATATGCATCGAATGCAAATGAAGCTCATTCACAATAGCGYTTTCAATTTGCTTTGTTTCTAGCAGACAATTGTTTTCTGGTTGCCATGTGGATAACAAAAGACTTGCATCCAGCATTACTAATGTACTTATTAAGTAATTATCAATCAAGGGTATAACTACACTGTAAACACATGCAAACAAACAAACAACAAAAAATAAACAAGAAAATCAAACATAAATGCAAACACACGCGGTCACGACGAGATTAAATATTGCTTAAGCAAACCTTATCAAATGATAATAACATCATAGAAAAGTTTCAACCTTATAAAACGCTTTAAAACGTTTGGACGAAGTTCCTAAGTAGATTCYCAGTTCCCGCAACATTTTTTTCGACTAAAAGAAGTAATTACTTTTACAATATCACACGRGCGGCGGAGCCAATCGGCACAATCAAAGACTTATAGTGATGACGTCACATCAACTTTTGCAAATACATTTTKTCACGACAAAAAAATGAATTATTGAATGTTTCGCTGCCAAATATTTTGTGGGGTTGCACCCTCGCCGCCCCTGTATCGAATTTCAAACGACGAYCAGTCTAGCTTTTTACTGTATTTATTCACATGGTGCTTTCTGYAATAAATTTCTTATTCAACACGCAAGCGCTTTTTCGTATTATTCAAATAAAGTAATCAACATTCAACGCTTTCTTTTTTTCTATACGTTGCTATCCATTCATGTAAATAACTTTTTTCGATCTGTCTTGCATGCACAAGGGAGGGTGGGTCGAGTGGATTTTTGTGTCTCAGATCCAGATGGTGCGCGCCATCTTCAATAGTCACGGCTATCAAACTGGATGATATACTCTTTGTCACGCCACCCGCGTACCATGGGTCCAACATTCCGTTACTATATCAAAGATAAATATGATAAACTGAGTACTGAGTAAACTGATACTAGTATAAAAACACGACGCTCACTCTGCTATCACCTATTGTAAGCACTAGTTTTAAGTGTTCCAGTGCGGTGAAAATCAGTTTCGATASCCAGTGCGTGAATTAATCAAGTGTAACTCATACCTGAATATGATGTTGCTATGGGAYTCAATTTTCCTGCCGCCGTAGAGAGTTTCGATCCAGTACTGACGTGGTGTCACCTTTTGAGTTGCCTTGCATCCCTCAGYAAACGCTTCAAAGTTCCACTGCAGTAAAATAACGGTTAATACTCAATAATGATCTGCAACATCCGCTTTTCCTTTCCCCCTTTCCTAAGCCCCTTTCGCGTATTGTAGTCTTGTCATAAACTCAGAAGACTCGGTACCTAAAGATTAATCTGTGTTTTTACATTATTCAAGTAAATGTTGGAGTGTTAATCACCTTAGTAGGAGGAAACATATCTTGTACTCCATCTGAACAAAGTGGCATAACCATCTCTGAACAAGCCTGTCGACAAGGACACAAGTTAGTAAACCACTAGTCTTGTGTATCATTGCGGTGGGTCTTGACCGTTTAAGATTTGTGAGACTCAGTAATAATTGTAAACTGTGAAGACTCAGAGCATTGATAACAACAAATACTACAACTCACTAACTCTAATTAAGATTTTTCGTTTGACGCTGAATGAAAACAACTCCAACGTAGGTTTTGTCTCTGCACAACTCAGTTAAGTACGCACCGAATACATCACACCCTACTACAATCACACCCTACTACAATCACACCCTACTACAATCCAACACCGGAATTCAATGTTTCCTGTGCGCAAATGCTCCTGTGAAGGGATGAAAAAAAAACACTCTATCCTATTCGAGCCGACAGTGTAAACAGCCTACAGATCCACATGGTTATCAATGATCCAATCCATTCTAATAGTAATAATGAACATACCTGAAAGTTCCATCCTTTATCACCAAGTGAAGACACAGCCTGATGTCCAATGTCAAAACATGTGGTCTTTCCTGTACTATTGTAGTATACACCAACCGCTTCTGATATCGCACCAAGTAGCTTAGCGTCAGTGAGGTTACTTTGCTGAAGCTTTTTGCAAGTTACCTTTAGACAAAAAATATCGAATTTGTTCTTCTTTAGTTCAAGGATATATGGCATCTTTACTACTACTTCATGAGAATGTATAAATTATYATTTCTCATTTTTGTTTATTTTTTATTATTTTTCTATTTTTTCAATTAGAATATTGTCACCGTACCTTGATAGGCCATGCAGGGAGAGGCTCCAGAAAGCTTGCAGGATATGGATAGTCCACTAGAAAACGACAGATACRAAAGTTATCAAAGGGAGTTTTTAGAGTTTCAAGCACGCGCGCGCAAACCTGTGAAAGCGAACGAGCTCCTGCGCCGCTATAGAAAGTATATATSGACTTACCCATTGCCAAGTTTGTCCAGGTCGCACTCAGCCAGTATGATAACGCGGTTACATTTCCTTTAGTTTTCAGTGGTGAACAAAGTTTGAATATCTTTGACAAAMTCTGGCGGCCACTTGCTGTCAATAARGCAGATATCAGAAATCAGCGTTTTTACTAACCGTTCAGTCCGTTGTTAACTAAATAAAAAACAATTTAAAAAACCTAAWCATCAATGATATCCATGTACACTTACCAGTCTCGCCAAACTTGTCGATGATTGACCAAGATTTCCTAATAGAATCAACACACACATCACCACCATCACGGCGAAAGTCATTCGTCACAATCTTGTAGAAACTCTACAGTATGAAAGTACATCTGATTTCAGTGCATCGTTCCATAAAACATGCAAATATAAATAACTAACGATAAAGAAACGTCCTTTCTAATATGCATGCATCATACCGAGTTTATACATCATCACTATAGAACTAGGAATGCCGGGAGTCACCATTTTTTTAAATGGCGCCTCGTATAATCCAATAGTCTTCATTTCTACCCTGAGCAGCTTGAATTGCCTAGTCTAATCCTGCATGCAGGCTACATATGCAAACTTACAAATGCTATGCAAACTCATACATCCATACCCCTCACCCCATGTATTAGCTTACCCATGCTTACCTCGCACGGTGTTATACCTTGAAATTGTAAAATAGGAGCGGATGCTGCTAAAGCTCTGTAACAAAAAAACACGTCAACTCGGACGAAGTGCGACTTCTTACGAAAACGCTACAAAAATAAAGCGGACTGTTCGCAGGTATCYCAGCGAAGTATTATAATTACAAATCTTACCCAATAACGATGTTAGGGTATTTCATACGAAACCATGCAGCCAGCATACCTGCAACATATACCATCCATTTATTCATTGACACTAGAGACAAACCTCATTAAAACGACAATATATTACCTCCATACGAACCACCAATGGCAATCACAGGACTGTCTTCAGCTCCAGGGATGGTTACCTGGTAAATCATGTSATGAAATGAAAGTCATTCGATTGGCAAACGACCGTTGTAAAAATACGTGCTTATTTTAATTGTTGCAGCGCAGCCTTCTTGCTTATGGGTCCGAATCAATTAAGGACCCGCCTCCCCCCTCAACCCCGCCTCTGGGTTAATTTGAAAGATGCATTAAAAAGAAAGAATCYGCTAACCTTTAAATGACGTATGAGTGTAGCGAAGTCTGCTAAGGCTTGTTCTGATGATAAAAATCCAAGATAYTTTGGACTCTAAAATACATTTGATGGAAAAGAAAAAAAGTTAAGACTATATTAATTATATTTGTCTTGAGCGYAATTTAACTATCTCTTCCACAGGTCTRCAAGCTGTCCATGCAGTTRGCTCAMCAGCAATGATTTCATGCATGGCTCACCTCGTACGATCGTTTACCAAAAGGTARCGTTTCTCCGTARTATCTGTGTTCACCAAACACCAGCATCGCACCAAACTCTTGGGCGTTGTCCCACATGAAACCCTGTATTACAAAAAGATTAGAAGGCAAGACGTAGTAATCGGGCTGTCAAATTGACAATTCGCTCGTAAGCTAGATGATATTTACCGTATTGTTGGCAAACCACGTGATATCACCCTCATTTCCGGTGTAAAAGAAGATCGGACCCCCTTTTTTCCAGTACTGGTTATTGACYAAATATCTTTGATGGAATGTCATTTTAATGCCAAAGTTAAAGTGATCAAGCTAAAACAATGACAAAGTTTAAGTGGAAAATAATCAAATGAGATGGGAAGGAGAAACAATAAAARTAAAAGAAAGAAGGGATGGGATAGAATATCTAGACTGGAATAACTAAATTCAGAAACAATACTGATTATTCAAACTGAATCGAAACTGAAAAACGATCTTTAGAAAACCACTCAAACGACGATACACTATATTAACCTGCTAAGGGAATATTTTTGTAAATGGCAAACGATTTAGTCTGCTGACAATAATGCGCGCAGATTACAATGATGCGCGCGATAAACGCGATAATACCATGAAATACAGACATTTTACTGCCCCAATATAGCGCTCAGTACCATATGTTATTTCCTATCCTAGTAGCAAATAATATCCATCACGTGCAATGATTCAACAATGAGATAAACAGTAATCACCTTCTGTTCATAGTATTTTGTTTCATACTTGCAGTATCGACATATTGAAATTCTCTCAGTCGATGACTCTTGGTAGTCCATTAGCTTGTTTGGGAAATGTGCAAGAAGAMGAAAAGCATCTGAAAAGCTGTGAGTTAAAAAAGCCACAAGCAAAACTAATAAGATAGCCGTCTTTGCCATGATAAAATACAAGTGGTAAAGTACACTAGTTGTGGAGCTTCAGCGTGACTTAGTCACGACCGTCTCACATGACAAGCWAWYSSC